GAGATGTTGTTTCATCCACCAAACTCATCTCACTGCTGATGACTGAGCTGTTCTTCGCTGGACATCTGGATTTATCTGGACAAACATCCAGTGTGATCTTTCCGTGCAGCCTTTATGCCTTTAGTCATATTTCGCCTCCGGTAACAACATCTTATCTGAACTCCGCCGAGAAATAGTTCTCAAGTTGCTGCACCTTCAGTGAATCAGCCATCGAGGCCTCTAATTGCTAATTCTGTCAGTTTAATTAAAGTTCAGAACTACAGCAGCCTCTTTAAACCGTCCAAGCATATCTCTGGGTGAAGTCCCTCATGGAGGCAAAAATAGCTGTAGGCTGATTGGAGTTTTCCTCTGCCTCACATTTATCTCACTGGGTTTATTCTCAGCATTTTTAAAACCAGGGTCAGAAATCTAAAAAACGCATTTTTCTGCAGGAGCGTCTGTGCGACACAAAAGCCTTACAAGACAGAATCTGCTTTTTGACGGCGACGTCCCAAACACCATGACTGATTGTTGCGTGTTTAATTCCACCCTGGAGGTGCGTTTATAACGAACTTGCCACCGGCAAGGTAGACGGCCTCAATCAGCTCTTGAGGTGAAACACGGCTCTCTTTGTGTAATAAATCTTTATTTATTTCCTGCTCCCTTAAAAGTTAGCGCACTGTTGCAGCCTCGGAGGGGTTTTGTTTTGTGCCTCCACGCATCTTAGCATAACTCTTTAAAGTCTGCTCGGCTTTGATTTATTTTTTTTTTTGGGTGAAGAAAGAGAAGTAAACCTACAACCTAAAGCCCCCCTGTGTAAAACACACTCGCTGCTAGACAAGTGGATTCAATCTTGGGCTCGGCAGAACGCTGTTTGTTTTCCAGGTGTACTCATCTTTCCCTCTCGCTCGCTGTCTGCCTGTCTCTAATCTGATAGTATTTCTGATCCTGGGCCAGACAGAAACAACTGTTACCTGCAGACACTTAGAATAACAAGCAGCTCCGGCAGGCCTGCAGGGCCAAACCGCCGCTCCTGGAGCATGAAAACACACTTGGCATGCAGGCGGGCTGTGGTTCTGACTGGAGAACATATTGGTCCCGTACTGTAGGGCTACGAGGCAGCATGCCAGAGGAAGAACCCCGGAGGATTTCATACCTGGGCGGGCACCAAATACAAACAACTGCAGCACAATCTGACTTCAGCACAGAGCTCACGTTGCTGCAGCAAATCCACAAGAAAGCCGTTGTGCCTTTAACAAATGTTCTCCAAAGTGTAATTGTTGGTTCCGTTTAGGCGCATAAACCCTCTGAACTCCGAGCGGCTCCTTGCTGCTGTCACATTTTTAGTCACTGTGGGCTCATTTTTCACTGCAAAGCAAAGTCCGGCACTGTTAAGGAAACAGCTCGAGCAGGAGCAGAAGGAGAGGGAAATAAAATGTGCTTTTATAAGCCCATAAATCATAAAAAAATAAGTTAAAAAAGTTTAATTTCTTTGTTAATTTTCCAACAATGGAAAAACCTGAAATCAACACGTACAACATTGTTCCAAACTGGTACTTCAGGTATTTCCTACGAACATTTTAAACGAGAACTCGCAGAATTTTTGCCACATGACTGCTGATTGCAGCAGAGTCGCTGATGGTTTCTTAGTTGCGGCACGAAGGACAGAATATTTAGTTTTTTACAGAATCTGGCAAATCAAATCAAAGCAAAATTTGTATTTTTGGCAAATTTTTTTTAAATGAGCAATTTTGATTAAATAATAAATTCTTCTGACAGAACCAGAAGTCACACGTGATGCATTCAAGGACTTCTGGAACTTTTTCAAAAAATTATCCTGTTTTTACTGTTTCTGGTTTGGATAAATGGTGTAATTTTGACCATTAAAAAAAAGAAAAAGATAACATGGTTTTCAGACCTTCTGGCAGGTTTTGGAGTTCAGAGGGTTGAAGGACAACAAATCACATCTTCAGTCTGATTTAAATTCCTCGTATTCATCAGTGTTTCAGCCTGCAGATGGTCCTTCATCATGTTTAATTACTCTTAATTAATCTTCCATATGATTACATGGCGTCACTGTAAATGTGCGGTAGGAAATCAAATTGCAATTGTTGTCAGTTTGATGACTTTCATGTTCTTTTAGATGGTGTTTTTCAAAGCAAGTAAAAAAAAATCTAGTTTTTTATGAACAATATGTTTTAAAAAATCCTATCACGATTATTTTTAGATAATGCAATTACAGAGAGTCACAATGTTCATGGTGATGGAGTTTTTTTCCTTCTTTTTGTGTTTTTTACCGTAAAAAAATAAAATAAAAAATGAAGATGTGCTTTCGCTGAAGTCTGACCTGAACAAGCAGCTTCCCTCATGTCAGAAGAATGTGATGAATCAATGCAGCGCTTGTATCCAAAAATAAAATATTCCGCTCTTGTGACTTCAGTAATAATTAATTTAACTGTTGGGTCCTACAAACCTGCACATACAGGTTCACATACATGTATTAAAGATGTTCAGAGCAGCCAGTAGCTCACGTTCTGGAGGAGAGCTGGTGACTGTGGCAGGAATCCAAATGCGTTCTTTTTTGTCTGTGACCTTTTTTTCCAGTGATTGCCCAAACGACTGCAGTATTTGTTCGCTGTATTGAGGCGGGACGCTTGAGGGAGACTAAATGCAGTTTAGGAGTTCTTGACAGGAGTCAAGAGGGAGCCGAATCACAGAAGCACACGGACGAGGACCGATGGGAAATTAACAAATTACACTGAAACCGCACACTTTTGGAAACTTTTAACCAGCTGACGCCCGACAGCCACAACGTTAAAACCAACAACGTTCTGCTGCTGGGAAACCTTCATGTTAATTTGACGTCGGCCCGCCACAAAACGACAATATGGGCAACAACGTGCAAAAAACAACGAAAAAAAAACCCAGAGCTGACCAAATTCCAAATTTCCTAGACCCCAGTTTGACTGAACATCCACCGCATGTGTTGGAGGAATCCCAAACGACCCAACATCCAAAGGTCCTACGTCCACGCCCCAATGGATCAACGCTGTTTTAGCAGCACAAGGTGGATCTACACAATATTAGGCAGGTGCTTTTAATGCTGTTTGTACATCTAAATACTCTTATTTGCCAGCTAAGTAGAATTTATAAATGGAAAATGGGAGTTGTCTGCTTTTAGCGCGCTCATAAGAAGTTTGAATACATTGGGCAGAACCAAAAATGGCGCCTGATCACCTGCATGGAAGTAGCTTAAATAAATAAATAAATAAATAAATAAAGTTTGTTTGCCCTCCAGACTGGTGTGTTAGCGCTGCACTGTGTTTTACAGAGATAAACCGGTTTTTAAGGATGCAGGAGATGTTTTCGTCGCAATACCACAACTGACCACTAGGATGAAAAGTCAGCAGCAGTGCTAACATATCCAGCTCTCTTTTTTGCATCCATGGCTCTCCCATGTTTTCAGCTTGAAGCGTGTCCTTGCACTTTCTCTATTTGTGCCTGAAAAAGTTTTCATGCTCAGCCGAGGAGGGAAAAGTCTGCGGATCAATGAAGCAAAGTGTGACAGCGAAAACATGAATTAAACATCCGGCGGAGCTTTGAAAAATTGCTGCTAAACACTAAACTTGTGGGAAGCAATGCTGAGACTTTAACCTTCCTCATATTTGAAAAAAAAAACAGAAAATTATCAAATTTCCGTCGTCGGTTTTGTTCGTTCGAGGTTCGCCTGCTGCTCTTTTACTCACATTGCGCCCTCTTTGTCTTCGGTTGTTTATCTCAAAGAACCGACTTGTTATAAGCATGTAACAGCTGTGGATGGGAATGTGCGTTAATTCACATTTTCTTCTGCCAGTTTTTCTTCTTTTTTTTGGGAAACTTTGAGTTAAATCGGGACGTAATCTTGGCGGTGGATCTCCCAACACTTGGCAGCGTTCAGAGACCAGAAAGGAAAGCAACGGGAAAAACCGAACTACAAGAGTCGGCCAGCTGGAAGTTCGAACGCGGCTCTGAGTCTTAACTAGTGAGCGTTGGATTCTCCATTTATCAGCCAGTTCATCACATAAATAAATGACTGGGTTTAAGTGGAACAGTTTGCGGCCTCCTCATCGCTTAGTCTCCAGGTTCATCAAACAGGACTCTGCTATGATGTTCCTGTTATTAGAGTCAGGAAGACAGACTCCCCCCCGGATGCAGCACATGCAAGCTCAGACTAACTAGATTTCGGAGGTTACGGAATAAAGACAGATGACGCGAGGCGGCTGTATGCATCTGTTTAACTATGCATGTGTTTGCAAGCCTGTTTGTACAGTGGCTGCGCGTCTCTGTATGAGCTCTGTGTGCGTTTCCAACAGAGAGACTAATTAAAAGGCAGAGAATATGCATGAAACGGCACAGGCAGTTTAGAGATACATTATCAAAAAGACTGTCGGGCCTCTGAACATGCAGTTAGAAATACTCAACCCCTGGCAGCGCAGAGGAAGGAGAAACTGTGGAAAGTCTATGGGCTCGTGGAAGGAAGGGGGGAAAAAAAAATACACAAAGTTTATATCTATTCACACTAGTCCCATTTCTTCAGGGAGGACGGGGGGGAAGTTATATCCAAAACAGCAGCAGCAGAGGAGACAGTAGCAGGAGGCGGTGGAGGCAGGACGCCAGGTGAGCGGCGCCTCCTCGTAGAGACTCCTGGTTGATCTCCTCCTTGCTCGGGGAGGCCGAGGCCGCCGGGTGGCGGTTGGAGCACATGTCGTAAAGGTTTCCGGAGAACTGCATCTTCTTGGATTCCTGGCGGAGCGACTCCCAGACGGCGGCCGCCTCCTCCGGACAGCCGGCCATCGCCACGTTAGCGCAATCGTGGAACTCGTCCCACGACCTGCAGGAGGAGAGCGAGACGGTAGGAAAACCAGGAAACTACATTCAGCCGCTTCAGCGCTGCGTTGACAAACCTCCACATGAAAAAGCAGTGAATTGGCTTTTTTGACATGTTTGGACAGAGCAGATTAACCTGTGAGCAGTTTCTGGCTGTTTTATTTGCTCCCAGAGCCGGCCCTAGGCATAGGCAGTATAGGCAAATGCTAAGGGCGCCGACATCCACGGGGGGGCGCCACAAGCTTACCCGGCTAACTGACATGTATTCGGGCAAGAATTTATTAACAAGCGCCAATGCAGTTTCTCTACCATTAGCAGTAAAGATGGTACGTTAGCGTTTTAGCTGCTAACGTTAGCAGCGAAGACGTTAGCGAAAACGTAACCGTCTTCGCTAATGTCTGAAGACCACGGCAGAGGACCCTCATTGGCGCTTGTGGTTAAATATTTGCCTGAATACATGTCAGTTAGCCAGGGAGTGTCGCAAAGACTTGTTTCTTCAGTTTCATTGAGGTGTGTTGTTTATACTTAAATAAAAGCTTGAATACATGCATACAGTTTGTGTTACTGTATGAAAATTAGGAGTGAAATTCACTGTGATGCTAGGGGGGGCGCTAACTACAATCTTGCCTAGGGCACCACATTGGTCAGGGCCGGCCCTGTTTGCTCCTGTCACATTTTTCCTCACTGTGGCTCGTTTTTCACTGAAGTCCTGCAGCTCTATGGAAACAACACAACCATGACTAGAAGGAGAGACTCAGGAACGTCATGTGTGCAGTATGACAACGTTATAAAGCCATAAATCATGAAAATAGTGAAAACTGACTTGCTTTGGTTATTAATTTTACCAAAAAACATCAAACCTGTACCTCCAGCTGTTACCAACACTGGGAAGAATGACAGCTACCAATATTTCTAGTTGTTTGTTCTGTAAACTCAGGCTGTAGTTCAGCTGAACCGTCTGAGATCACTGATGGTTTCTTAGTTGCACCAACAAGGACAGAAATTGTTTTTTACAGAATCAAAATTATTTATTTTCGGCACACTTTTAAGGTGTAGAGTGGGCAATTTTGATAAAATATCACAAATTTAAGCTCAGATTTGGTAAATGTTTCTGACAGAACTGAAAGTCACTCATGATTTGTTCAAGGACTGTTGGAAAAAATTGAAATGAATGTCCTCTGTGCAGAACGACAAGGTTACATCGCCATGAATCAAATAAAAAGAGGAAAAAACAAG